TAGTTATCATCCTGAAAATTTTTAAAACATCGTATCACAATGATATATGTGCACTCATGTTTCTAGCGGCACAGTTTGCTAAATCTTGAAAACAACGCAAATGCCCATCAAGCAAAGAATGGATAAAAAAAAAGTGCGTTTTTTTTATACAATGGAGTACTATTCAGCCGTAAATAAAAATAAACTTGAGACATTTATAGCTAAATGGATGCACCTTGAGAACACACTTTGCAGTGAAATAAATCAAACACATATGTGTGAGCAAGGGTAAATAAGGACAAAAATGTATAATAGATAATATGAAATAGGAAGAAACAGTTCAAAAGGAAAGGGAAACTTTGAAGGGAGGAGCAGAGGAAGAAAGGAAAATAAAAATAATGAGAAAAGAAGGGAAAAAATGGAAACAGAGGCTTTTGTAAATAAGGGGTGGGGATGTTTGAAGACAGGAGAGAGGATTGGGAGAAAAAGAGGAATCAAGATATATCATGTATGGTACAAATTCCCTTTGATGAATGTGATCATTATATATATTAAAATTGTACCATTAAAATTAATTTTAAAAATTTAAAAAGACAATTCTCTGTGTTGTATTTGAGTGAGAAAAGCCTCTAAGCTCCCTACAAATGAAAATAAATTAGTCATGTACAATAACCTATTCGCAATTGTAACCCTTTGCCCCTCTGAGTTTTGTGGGGATAATTTTTGGTAATTAATTGGTAATATGAGTCTATTATTTGTGTACACTATAAATGTATCTAATCCAAACAGAAAGATGTACAATCAAAGTTGGAGAAATATATAGACTTAAGCAGATTTTTCATAGATGAAAGAGCAGAGGTTTTGACTTCTAACACATTTACCTGACTTGTACAATAATAATAGGAATGAGTTTGCATATGTATTTGAAATATTGGACTGCAAATGGCCCAAGAATACAAGAAGCAGGTTATAACCATATACATTTGGCCTGTCCAGACTCTTTATGACCGCCAACTATCTAGGAAATCTGAAAAAATCTTGAATGTATTATTTTTTTCCCTTGTAAGAAGTCAGGAAATCTCATGGACCTATCTAGATAAGCTAAATGAAAATGTAGGAGCAAAAAACTTTTTTGCTGCTGTTAAGTCTCTAGCTCAACTGACATACTGATTAGACAAGAACGACAGCAAACAGCACATAACTAAAAATAGAGAGGGGAAATTACACTTCAACTATAAACTCCTACTTGGACAATCTAACTTGACCAAAAGTTTAATATGATTCTTCTACCATATGAATGTATAGTTGCCAATAAAATAGTTTAAAACTCTTCTGCTATGTATTAAGACTAACAAGTACTTATATAAACCTAAAAGAACTAACAAATTCCCATACAAGGAAGAAATTGAACTTCTGATACTTTAAATGTACTGGCCCCTTAAGAAAACCACTTCACGGGCCGGGGATTTCACTCAGTGGTTCTGCCACCTGCCCCCAAAGCAGAAGGACCCAAGTTCAATCCCCAGTGCCAAAAAGAAAAGCTCTTCACAAATACAAACTTCCAATTCAGAAACTGACAAGCTTATTTAATCAAATACAGTAGTTGGATGCTAATTTCCAAAGAAAGAAATGAATATAGGAAGCATGCTAGAAATCAGTAATCACAAAAAGCACTATTATAAACTTCTGTGAAGCAATTTTTTAAATTTTAAAATAAATGGAAAAGAACTAATATACTGTAGTTTAAATTCATCTAATATACCAAATCAAGATGAATCATCCCCAAAATCAGTGATTTGGTAATTTTAATTGCAGAAAAAGCTAAATATCTTCTCCCTGATTTTATTACAGTGAGTATTTGTCTTGGTTATTTTTCTCCTTGCTGAGATAAAATATCCAACCCCACAAGTTAACTTTATTTAGCTCACAGTTTGTAGAAGTTTCAGTCCATAATCAGCTGGCTCCAAGGCAGGGTGGCTGGGCCGAGGGGCATCTCAGAAGAGAAACAGTTCATGGTAAAGAGGGGCAGACAGAAGATAGTAAGGAACAAGTCCTAGGGACAAGCCTCTTTCTGTCCCTTATATTGTACCTTATGGCAGGTAGCACTCACACCTTAATCCTAGCACCATTAATTCTCGCATTGCACCCTGAATCCATCCCAGCCTCACACACTGCAGATCCAGCTACTTTGAAAAAGCCCCACCTATGACCACATGAGGCTTTGGGTGGACATCGAGATACAAGTCATAATGGTATTTTAAGTGTAATGTTGCATTATAGAAATCTAGCAATATTTTTTTTAAATGAAAAGGAAGAGACACATAAAAAGTAAAAATACTTCATCACCATAAGTTTATTTTTAACTGACTCATCCATATATATTTGTTTTTCATAACATTTAGATTATAAAGCAATAAAAAGTCTTATGCTGCTATGATTTATTTTTAAAACCAATGCTTAAATCTTTAAACAGTGTGGCCATCTATCATTATGTGTGTCTGCACTTAAATATGTATATATTGAAGTCTCTTAAAACTACTTGACTGATTTTAAAAACAGAAGCTTATATATAGTAGGGAACTGGTAACTTAAAGAAAAATAGTCTTTGAATTTCTGGCTTATTTTCAACCATAAGGATGCAAAATGTTGTTTACTTTTGGAATGTTCCACCCAGATGGCAATTTTTCCCTCACCCAATCCAAATACAATATCTCAAAAGGAGCTGTTAACTTTTTTTGGGTTTGTGCTAGTTTTGCATACTTCAAAACTATATGCAGGCTTACGTAGCAGCTCAGTGGTAGGGCAAGTAGTTAGCATGTGCAAGGCCCTGGGAGCCATCCCCAGTGGGAGGGAGGAAAGAAAGAAGAAAGAAAGGGAAGGAGGGAGGTGGAAAAGAAGGAATGGTCCATGGACACATGAAAACATGTTCAGCATCTTTGGCCATTAGAGAAATACAAATCAAAACAAGAGAGAGATTCTATCTTATTCCAGAAAGAATGGTTATCATTAAGAACTAAAAAAATCAAATGTTAGAGAAGTTGTGGGGAAAAAGGAAGGCAGTGTAAACTACTACTACCACTATGGAAATCAGTATGGAGATTCCTCAGAAAACTAAAAATAGAGATTCCATTTGACCCAGTTATACCCCTTCTGGGTATCTTCACAAAAAATCTAAAGACATCATATTACAGTGATACATGTATACCCATGTTCATAGCAGCACAATTCATAATAGCTAAAGCTTGGAAGCAGCCTATATGCACATCAACATGTGAATGGATGAAGAAAACGTATATATGCATGATGGAGTACTAGTTATCCGTGAAGGGTAAATTTGAGTCATTTGTAGGCAAATGGATACATCTTGAGACCATAATGCTAAGTGAAATAAATCAGATACAGAAGGTTAAACATCACATGGTTTCTTTTATATGAGAAACATGTAAGTTATTTAAAGAGCAAAATAAAAGAGATGACAGGAAACAGGGAGGTAGACTTTGTGGAGGTGGGAAGGGAAGTCAGGAATGGGGGGAAATGGGAGGAAGAGAAGGAGAAGTAAAAAGGATCAAGATGTGTTACATATATGTATCAATTCCCCGTGATGAATCTATTTATTATATATCACAAATGTATATTAATAAAAGGGGAAACACTTTTGAAAAATAAAATAAGGCCATCCCTCCCTAATCACTCTCCTCTACCCACTTGGGCTTGGATGCCACTTTAGGAGCATTTCATATAGCCCCAGACCAAAGCACATTCTCTCTCTCTCTCTCTCTCTCTCTCTCTCTCTCTCTCTCTCTCTCTCTCTTCTGTCACTCCTGAGCCCAAGAACCTGATTTATCTGCACAGCCTGTAGTGTGCCTTTTTGTCATCCAGGTACCATTCCTCTTCGATAAATGTAGCTGCTTTTTTTCTTGGGGGTTCAGCAGATTGTGTATTTTTAATATCATGGTACACTTGACTTGGAGGCACCACTTCCTGCCAGGGTCCTCTTGCTGTGGATAAGAATCCTTAACAAACTGGGCAAGCATTTACAATGAGTTACACTCAGTTCAATAACTGGGCCTACAATGAACAAAATAAGATTCTTCTAAAAGAACTGCCATGCTTGGTTTTGTTAGAGGCTCTGCTCAGCTCAGGACACATAGCCTTCAGCACTGTAGCCAAAGAAAAGAGCCTGCAGTGGAGACTTAGCAAAGCTTTGTCTGTGATTCTACAGCTATCACTATTTCCCCTCTTTAAATAACCAGATGCCCTTCAGCCCTAAAAAATACCTTACGCCACTATGGCTGGGTTTTTCCACTGCTGTTTCTCTCCGCCATAGCCATGGGGACCAGGAAATATCTTCAGACGGAGAAGCCATGAACTCTCAACTCTCAACCCTGGGAGTTACTTTTCTTTCCTCTGTTTCCCTTTTTGCTCTTTCTAGTGCCTTTAATAAGTTTTTAATCAAGTTTCATAATTGTGGCCTGTGAAAGGATTCTTTTGACCATTTCATTCTTCCACAATTATCAGGAGCCTCTATGTTGTTTTAAAATTATATCAACATTATTATAATAGATTTGTCATCCCCAAATCCACAATAGGAGAAAAGTCTCCAAACAAGAAAGATGCCAAGTGTGATGATACATGTCTGTAATCCCAGTGCACAGGAGGCTGAGGCAGGAGGACCACCAACTTCAAGGCCAGCCTGGGTTACATAGTGAGTTCAAGGCCAGCCTGAGCTACAGAGTGAGACCCTGTCTCAAAAAAAAAAAGAATCCCCAAACTACTCGACACAGTTGGCAATTCTCTTTTATTTGGATTTTTTTTTTTGAGACAAAGTCTCACTCTGTAGCTCAGGCTGGCCTCGAACTTGTGGCAATCCTTCTGCCTCAGCCTCTTGAGTGCTGGGATTACAAGTGTGTGCCACCACGCACAGCTTGTGTCAGGTTTTTTTTATAGGTCAAGTTTTTGTTTTTGTTTTTGTTTTTTTTCTTTTGGAACAAAACTCCGTTTTTGGTTATATACAGTTAAGTTCATTTAGCGTCTTCCAGGTCATCAATGGTCTTTTCCAGTTTTGCAACCGTTCTCTCTGCAAATTCACCGCGGGTCTCAGCCTCTTTCAGTTTGTCAGACAGAAGTTTAATTTCTTCTTCATATTTATCCTCCTTTTCAGAATACTTTTCAGATGCAGCCTCGAGCAATTTCAGATTGTTCGTGACATTCTTGAGTTCTTCGTCCAGGTCACGGCATTTTAGTTTGGACACCTCCGCACGCTCCTCTGCCCTTTCCAGCTCGCCCTCCAGGATCACCAACTTACGAGCTACCTCCTCATATTTGCGGTCAGCCTCCTCGGCAATGTGCTTGGCCTCTTTGAGCTGCAACTCTTGGATCTCCATCTTCTCTTCATCTTTCATGGCCCAGTTTTCTATCACCTTCATTCCTCTCTCACTCTCGTCTGCAGCTTTTTCTGCTTCCTCCAGTTTTTGCAGGGCGGTGGCCAGTCGTTCCTGAGCCTGGTCCAAATCCTCCACAAGCTGGATGTGTCGATTGAGAGCCGCCACATCTCCTTCAGCTTTCTCGTGGCGCTCGCGCTCGCCATCCAGCTCGCACTGCAGCCTTTGTGCGCAGTCCTCCTCGTCCTCTGCCTGCTGCTGCAGTGCCTGGATCTTGCGCTTCACAGCATCCAGCGAGTTGAGCCCGGCCAAGGCACGCGGGCTCTCAGTCTGCAGCTCGGCAATGGCTGCCAAGTTTTTTTTGTTTTTTTTTTTTGTATTAAATTCTTTTATTGGTACATTGTAGGTATACAACACAATTACATTTCTCATTGGGAATTGTACCTTTATATAAGGCATCTTGGTTCTTATTTTTTCCCCATTCCTAGCCCTCCCTTCATCCCCTCCACCCTTCCCTATTTACAAAGACTTTATTTCCATTTTTTCCATTTCTCATCATTTTTTCCTTTCCCTTCTTTCCTTTCCCCTGACCCTCCCACTACCCCTTTGGACCTTTTCTTCCTATTTTACATTATCGATTATTCATTCTAGTCATTGGTACATTTTAGGTATACCATATAATGACATTCACCGTTGGAAATTTGCACTTTTACATAGTCTCTCTTGGTTCTTATTTTTCACCCTTGCCCAGCCCTCCCTTCAACCCCTCCAGTCCTCCCTATTTACAAAGATTTTGTTCCTATTTTTCCATTTTCTCATATTAATCCCATTCCCTTCTATCCTTTCCCCTAGCCCTCCCACTTCCTTCCCCTTCGCCCCTTTTCTTCCTATTTCACATTACCTATTATACATTTAGTCCTTATTTACACTTTCAGTTTCTCACACCAGAGAAACTATTCGGTATTTACACATGTGTGTCCTATTTATTTCACTTAAGAGTATTGCCTCAATGTGCATCCACTTAGCAATAATTGTCTCTAATTTCTCATTTTTTATGGCTGAGTAGTGCTCCATTTTATTAAAAAATCACATTTGCTTTATCCAGTCTCCAGCTGATGGGCATTTGGGCTGTTTCCAAGTTTTAGCTATTACAAACTGTGCTGCTGTGAACATGGGTACACATATATCACTGTGGTATGATTCTTTTAATTCTTTGGGGAAGATACTCAGCATGGGAATAGTTGAATCAAATGGGACTTCCAGTCTACACTCCCACCAGCAGTGGAGCAGGGTTTCTCTTTCCCCACAGCCCCACCAGCATTTGTTACTGTTCGATTTCTTGATAGCAGCCATTCTTTCTGGGGTGAGGTGGAACCTCAGCATTGTTTTCATTTGCATCTCTCAAATAGTCTGTGATGTTGAGCATTTTTTCATATGTTTATTTGCCATTTCTACTTCTTTGTGTGAGAAATGTCTGTTTATTTCAGATGCCCATTTTTGGATTGGGTCTTTAAACTTGGGAGGTCTGATTTTTTTAAGTTCTTTTTAGATTCTAGATAGTAGACCTTTGTATGAGGGACCGCTAGTGAAAATTTTTTCCCACATCGTGAGTTGTCTCTTCACACTGCTGGTGGTTTCTCTTGCTATGCAGAAGCTTTTTAGTAAGAAGAGATCCCACCCTGAGAACCAGTGGAACAGATTAGAAGATGTAGAAACAACTTGAGACACACTCAGCCACCTCATCTTTGACAAAGGAGCCAAATATCCTCACTGGAGGAAAGATAGCCTCTTTAATAAATGGTGCTGGAAAAATTGGGTTTCAATTTGCCAAAGACTAAAACTAGACCTATATCTCTCACCATGCACTCAACTAAAATCGAAATGGATTAAAGATCTAAATATTAAAACAGAAACGCTGAACCGGCTGGAACAGAGGTTAGGTAGAACTCTTGAAAACATTGGTGTAGGAAAAGATTTTATGAACAAAACCTCAGTTGCCTGTGAACTAGCACAAATAATATTGCGTCTTCCAATCCAAGAATATAGAATGTCTTTATTTATATCTTGATTTTTTTTTTTTGAGACAATATCTCACTATGTTTCCTAGGCTGGCTCCAAACTCCTTAACTCAAGTGATCCTCCTGCTTTGGCCTCCTGAGTAGCTGGGACTATAGGCATGTACCAGTGTGCCTGATAATTTCTTTTTTTGTTGTTGGCCTGGTAATTTCTTGTAGTATTAAGAATATAAATTTTGCGGCTAGGTGTGGTGGCACATGCCTGTAATCCCAGCATGCTGAAGGCAGAGGCAGGAGGATCACTGTGAGTTCGAAGCCAGCCTGGGCTACATAGTGAGTTCAGTGCCAGCCTGAACTACATAATGAGACCCTGTTTCAAAAAAAAAAAAAGAATATGTTTTGTAAGTTTTTTGTATAATTTACTTCTAGATATTTCAATATTGTTGATGCTATTGTTTTCTTAATTTGATAATTTATTTGCTTGTGGCTACTACATAGAAGTACAATTTACTTTTGGGGTTTTTTTATTTGTTTTGTTTTAAGACTGGGTCTCACTATGTAGTTCAGGCTAGGCTTGAACTCACTATGTAGCCCAGGCTGGCCTTGAACTTTCAGCGATCTTCCTGCCTCAGCTTCCTGAATGCTAGGGTTACAAGAATGCACGACCATGCCTGGTTTAGAATTTATTTTTGTGTATTAATACTATACCATCTAACTTTATTAATTTATCCTATAAACTCATTTATTAGTTCTAATAATTTTTAGTGGATTCCTTTGAATTTTTATATACAAAATCATGTCACTGTCAAACTTAGTTTTGATTCTTCCTTTATAATATGGATCCATTTTTCAGGGCATAGTGGCACATGCCTTTAATCCTAGCACTCGGGAGGCTGAGGCAGGAGGATGGACATGAGTTTGATGCCAGCCTGGGCCACATAGTGAGTTCAAGCCCAGTCTGAACTACATAGTGAGACTTTGTCTCAAAAACCCCCCAAAAAATATATATATATGCCTTTTATTTCACTGTCATCTTCTTTTTTAATTTTTAATTTTTGATGTAATACAAGTAGATTAATAGAGAATATTAAAAACACTTCTATAAAAAACAATATTTCACAACAAAACAATTAGAGAATAACAATGGTTAATACCATTCTTGTATCATGATTTTAAAAGAATAGAACTCCAGTACAATGTTAACTAGAAATAGTAACAATAGATGTGCTATTCTTCTTTCTGTCCTTACGGGGAAATGTCAATGGCTTATGACCTTTATTGTTTGCTCATATTACATGCAAACTCTAGCTTAACTGTAAGCCAGCTGTAAATGTGCTCAGGCCTTCTTAGCATTACTCCATAAACACAGATATGTTTTCATCCTAGGACCAAACCTGAAGCCTTACCTGAGCTATACTTCTCTCTTGGCAGAGATCAAAAGCTAGAGCCCAAGCCAAACCACATAATCTCCTTAAATCTCCACTTGGACATGGTGTATGTCAAACCACATTCACGCCTGTGGCCAAAGCTTGTCTGTCAGTTGAGCCTACAATCAATGAGAAGGGCGTCTCTACTCCTCCCACAATAGGCACGGTAAGTCATCTGGAAATGGGCAGGGATGTATAATCCTCTTACAGGAAAGATGGGGAGAAATGCTGAGGAAAATATCAACTCTTTGAAGTCTAGATACCACTACCTCTAAGAATTGTAGAAATTAACTTAGAAATTCAGCTAATTATTACAAGATAAAAGCACAATTAAATCAGCAGTTTGTGAGCACAACCACACTTTAGAAATTGTCCCAGGTTACATAGGATAATATAAAAAATTTGAAAATAAGGAAAAATGATGACTGCATGATTTGTCAAATAGCATGGCAGCACATTTTCTAATAAGCCTATCTATCAATCACTTGACTTTCTCAAACTTTGTAACTTTGACTATCCATAACTAATTAGGTCCAGAAAGTTTTAGTCTTTCAAAATGAAGGGTTAAGGTGCACAAAACTACGAAGTTGTGATTTACTTTGACAAGGGTGGAGTGGCACCTGATTCAGTAAATGATTCCCCCAAAAGTTTCAGTTCATTGCACAATAAAACATCAGCCAGAATTGAATCTAACTAGGTAATCTTATGGCATTTTCCCTCAACTGACTACATGAACCTGTTTTTCAAATGATCTCTGAACCAGCACTCTTGTGTTATCTGCTGGCTCTTTCATTAATTGAATAAAGCTTTACCACATGCTATCAAATGACTGAGATTTGTGCTCTTGTCATCATCTACTCTGAGCCGTTTGCCCTGACTCCTCCTTCCTCTAATCAACCATACATCCACTTTGCTCTCACAGCACCGTGTACTTTTCCCGTCACAGCACTGTTCACACTGTGTAGAAATTGCCTGTTCATTTATTCCCTCCCTTAGACTGTGAGCACCCTGAGAGACATTGCCTTCCTCTATTGTGGCTCCCCAGAGCCAAGTTCATTATCTCCCACATGATCAATCAATGTACATAAAATGAAGGAACTGTAATTGTTGCGAGGTGATGACAAATAACTAAATGAATAGCAAAATCAAGAAAACTTGGTCTCTAGAACAGATGAGGAGCTGTGCGTGGTGGCACACACCTGTAATCCCAGCACTCGGGAGGCTGAGGCGGGAGGATTGCCATGAGTTCACAGTCAACCTGGGCTACAAAGGGAGTTACAGGCCAGCCTGTACTACAAAGAGAGACCTTTTCTCAAAAAATAAACAAAACAAAAAAAATTAAAAATTAAAAAAAATAAAGTAGAGGAGGAATTAATCACAATATACAGGTTTTCTTCTTCTTTTCTTCCTCTTCCTCTTCTTCCTCTTCTTCTTTTCTTCTTCTTCTTCCTCTTCCTCTTCCTCTTCCTCTTCTTGCAGTTCTGGGGATTGAATCCAGGGCCTTCTCACTAAGCTACAACCCTACACCCTTTTTTAAATTTTTAAATTTTTAATTTTCTATTTGTTTTTATTTTGAGAAAGTCACCAAGTTGCCCAGACTGGGCTTGAACTTGCAATTCTCCTGCCTCAGCCTCCTGGAGTGCTAGGATTAGAGACATGTGCCACCACGTCCAATTTAATAAGGGAAGTATCTTCAAGAGGAAAGATAAAATAGAGCTGGCTGTTCTTTATTTCAAGAAGGCCAAAAAATGAAATTTAAATTTAGGATACAAGAGTGCACATTAATTTTTCTAAAGATTAAGATGGTTTCATGCAATAATCACCTAAAGGTATCTGAAACAGTAGAGTCTTCTTCTGTGTTTACCTCATATTAACTACTTGAATGGGTTTCTTTTTTTTTTTTTT